AATCGTATATGCATTAAACTCGGAGCTGCAATTGCAACAGGGCTGTAGAAGACTTGAGATTAGTTTTGGACGAAATTTGTCACATTTTTTGTACCAACTGTGTTGGCTGAGGGTCAGTATTTGTTAACATTTTGTCTAGTTTAGGGTCCTGCATGGTTTAGCCTCTCGCCACTTTACGTATTACGTTAGATTGTTGGAAGACGAAAATCTGTGCGCTATTCTTATTTTATAGTGGCCAAACACCCTATTTGGTAGTTATTTTTGTTCAAACTTGCAATACTTTCCGTTAACCTTAAGCTAAAAACATTCAAGGGAGTAAAGGAGCACCTCAATCAGACTTTGCTACGTGCGTCACAGCGAACTCTCCCACATTTGTGCATACCTGGAGTAATCTGTATTTGAAGGATACTTTTTTTCTTATAACTTTTTATTCCGTTTCACACGTAAATATCTCTTTAGCCTTACACTTAATTGCAACTTTAATCTCTACACCCTACACTCGACCCCTTTTTAAGGTTTCACGTTTGCGCATTGCTGAGCTCGCATCTGAATGCATCGCGCAGTGGACCAAATTCTGGGAGACTTGCTCCACCCTCCAGTCCACGAGCGAAAAGCCGTCCAGCTGCTTGACCGCCCTTCTCGCAGACAACGAGGACATCCTCCCGCCCACCTTGGCGACAGTTCCACCCGCTCTCCTCAAACCGTCTTTAACCCTCCAGGCCTATCACAGTCGTCTAGAAGACATTGCAAGCAGGCTGAACCAGCCCATACCAGAGCACTGCCGTCTGATCACGCCTGAGATTAGAGTGCAGCAAGAGACGCTTGCTACTGCCGCGGCAGATCTCCTCGCATGTTGTCGAGATATTGGGTCAGACCACACCTTGGGTCCTGAAGCCACTCTCCTCACAGGAATGTCACGCGTGGCCAACTCTATCACCGAGGAGATTGCATCATCTAATAACTTCCTCCTTTCCTCAAAGCCCAGCCTAAGTCCGACCCCACCGGCGGTTGAGTCCCTTGTTAGCGACTTGATCCGGACTGCTCTGTTGAGTGCTCAGACTTTGCACCATTTTGACATAGTCGAAAGTGCAGATGGGCACACCGATGGC